GTCAGTGGCAGTGTGGATGGAAGTATTCGATTGTGGAATGCTTTGACAGGCGAGTGCTTGCAGGCCATTGATGGTAAGTCAAAAGAACTCAAGTATTTCCTTTTAGACCAAACACCAGTTGCGAAACATTGGCATTGGAGACCAATGTTTTGGATTAATGCCATAGCCTTCTACAAAGATTACGTAGTAGCCGCAGATATGGATGGAAATATAATTTCCATGCAAATTGATAAATCTGGCGAATTTGATATTTGTTCCATTGTGAAGAAAGATTTTGCTGCATATCGAGTTGAACTAAACGGCAAATGGCTCGTGTCTATCAATCATTCAAGAATAAGTATTGTCGACTTGGAGGATGGATCTAATAGTCGCGAACTCAGAAAGTCATTTGGTTTCGACGGCGATAAAGTCATAGTTGACTTTAAGTCAAATCAGATCATCTTCTTCAAATTTGATAACGTGTATATGCACAACCTAAGTGCAAACGAGCGCGTTTGCTTCCAAAAAGGTTTGTAAATTCTGACCCTTGAATGATATGTGGGAGTGTTGCGAATTTACTAAATTCCACTCTTTTAGAGCCTTTCAGACGGATGGCCTATGTGGTAGCTATACAAGCGAATGAGAGTTTCGTTTATAGCGTTCATGAAGATGGTAGGATATACCTTTGGGATCGGAAGAAGTGTCGATTAATTCATGAGCTACATCGGTTGTCAGTTGTGGATGTGAAAATTTGCCGCCTGGGCCTGTCTGAATCCTCTCAGAACTTATTTTGCTTGGCAATTTTCAGTACGCATTGGGGACTGAGGTCAAGGATGTACAGGATATCTGTCGGTCGACCTGGAATTGAAGACGGCTGATTTATTTTCGACATTACGGACGATGTTAGGGGAGTTTCTGCACAGTGTCAGCTCCTCTATGCCGGCCTCATTTTGCCAATTATCCGCGCCAGTATCCTTTTATGCAACTCAAATTCGTTTCTAATAATAACTTGAGATATTATATTTTTTCGACGTTTCTCTTCTTGAGATTATCTCCCTCGAAACCGCTTTTGCTCTCGATTGTCCTTTGCTTTTCCTGACGCTTGCATTGTACTGCTATAGTCCAACTTTCCAAATCGACCAACGTACGTAAGACATAATATTTCCTCCACACCACTCCATTCATATGTCAATCGATGCCGTTAGTTACTAAAAGCCTTTTCATTTTCCCCTAACCCACATCACTGTCTTCCTCCCTTCCTTCCTTCCACTCTTTCTGTACATTTTGGCTAAAATATACCTTGAAGTATTTCAAATAAATTACTTATTGGTGTTCGAAAGTGAGGTTATTTCTAAGGAGAATTCGGCATATGTAAGACGTAATAGAGGAGGATAAAATGAGAGAATGTGATAAATGTTGGCTAATTCACTTTAATGGGGAGGTCATGGCAACCCTGTTGTGAGATTCCATTTTAGAAAGTGAGATAACACAGGGTGGATTTCTGTTGGAAGCCAAATTTTAGGCTATTAAAAGCCACATCGAGACAAAGAGAATATGGCTTTAGAGGTCCATACTTGTGAATCTTTAAAATGTTCCCACATCGAATCTAAGGAATTTAAATGCGTTCATGCTTCCTTAAATCTTCTCCTCCCATCTCCGCCATAATTATGTCTAGTAGAGTGAACGCACTACTTATGTGGTAAGGGCGGACGAATTAATGGAGGTTAGTATTAGAAGTGTGATTTTGGTGTCAGATGATATTTTAACTATAGGATTATTGAGGGTAATCGATTTGTGAAAATAATGCTAAAATATAGGCCTTCTCCCTGGATTGCATTTAACAAAATATGGAGAGCTTGTGCTTTGGTATTAGGACTTAAATGAAATAAATTAAGAAGATTTTTGAATTCAAGCTGGTTTAAGTTATAAGTAAACCCTAATTTAAGCGACGAGGTAGGTTCGCTATACTTGGCATTAAGAAGTATAATGGGTTAGATAAGAGTGCTTTAAAATTAAGTGTATTACTTACCTCATGGCATTCTACAGTGCAAGTGGAGGTGAGCGGGACATTTTCACAGTGTTGATACTGCCCATTGATATATAATATATGCCAGACAGTTGGTTAGAACCATGTCAAGCCAGAGCAAGGGGCGGTGAGAGATGTCATGTCTTATATTAAAATACGGGAGTGTTGGATAGAATTGGCTCCACATGGTGCACCCTGGGCAACGTATACTCGTACGCCAACAAGTCTAACAACCGAGAGTTTGGCTTCTGACTTCTATCTACTCTGACCCGACATTATGTCAAATTACAACACCCCACAGTACTTAACCTACATTTTCTCTCTTTGTGTCTGCCTGTCTATCTCTTCTTTTTATATCTGTCAATCACTTTTCTATCCCCTCTCTCGAATTTTCAACACTTTGACATTTCCCCACTCTGTAAAGCCCGAAGTCAGATAAAGGGCTAATGATAATCGTCAAAACGCCTGCGATTTCGAGATAAATAAAATGTTAAGATACTTGCAGTGAGTTAATAAGAAAACTTAATATAATTAAGACTACTTAGGAGTATTTTTGAATTTAAAAGTTTCCCGTGCAAATGGAATGCGATGCCATAGGCGTTGCTTAGCTTGGAAATAAGACTACCAGTTTCATGGCACTGGTGTGTCTTCACTATGCCAATTAAGGAAGGTGAATTAGAAATTGCTCATTCCTAACATTTGCAGTCAACTCATTTTCCTAAAAGATTGAAAGTATGAATATTTGAAGATGATACCAGTTCTTAAAAAATGGGTAAAGACCCTAGCAACTTTGACAACTATAGGCCTATCTCCCTCACATGCGTGCTGGCTAAACTTATGCAAAGAATAGTTAACAGGAGGCTGGCCTGGTTTCTTGAGATCAACAATGTTCTTAGGTGTGAACAAGCAGGTTTTAGACCACAAAGGTCAACGAACCAACATGTAGCCATTTTCTCCCAACACATCTGATGCAAGAAATACTCTTACGGCTGTTTTCGTCGATTTCCTCTTCCAACACATCAAAGATGCCATTGATGCAAGAAATATGCTGTTTTCGTCGATTTCAAATCAGCATATGACTTAGTATCCTGTTTTCGTCACCCTTGATGCAAGAAATACCCTTACGGCTGTTTTCGTCGATTTCAAATCAGCATATGACTTAGTATTGAAAGAGAAGCTAATCCTAAAATTGGCAAAGATTGGTTTTAAGCATAACATGCTTAATTGGATAAAAGCATTCATTGGACATAGATGATCTAAAGTCAGATATGGAAAAGCTCTATCACAAAGATCATGTAAAGTCAGATATGGAAATGATCTATCAGATGCAGTTAAGTCAGATATGGAAATGCTCTATCAAAATCCGATCTCTCAGATACGGAAATGCTCTATCAAAATCCAATCTTTTGCCTGGTCTTAAATGCTCTATCAAAATCCAATCCTTTACAAACAGGCCTTTCACAGGGCAATGTCTTCATCAATGACATAGCCGAATTGGTACAGACATTCCATCAATGATATAGCCGAATTGGTACAGACAGTCACCGTCAAGTGCTTACTTTACGCAGATGATCTGCCGCCCCTAAGAAAAACGCTCAAGAGAGGACAGAAAGTGCCCGTGCTTACTTTACGCAGATGATCTCGTACTATGGTATTCCCCCCCCATGCTTTATGCAGATGATCTGGTACTATGGTATTCCGCCCCTGAGAAAAACGCTCAGGAGAGGACAGAAAGTGCCCTAAATTGGAAAAATCGCTAAGGAGAGGACAGAAAGTGCTCTTAATAGTGCACTTATGTATAAAACTGGTGCGACAACAATGGAATGGTAATCAACACCGCAATACTGCACTGGTGCGACAACAATGGAATGGTAATCAACACTGCAAAACTGCATTTCAACCTTTTTCTTTGTACCGTCACAGCATAAACCCGCTTCTAAGGTACAAGGATACTACCATAGAAAAAACCAATGAGTTCACATATCTCGGAATGACGTTTGACACAAAGCTAACGTGGAAAAGCCACATTGCTAAAATAGCAGAACGAGTCCCCAATAGACTGAATGTACTCAAGCGTCTTGCTGGCAGCAAGATGTTTATTCAGCCAATAATGTTGTATTGCTGTGAGCCACTCATTACAGCCACAGAGGTGACTCTCAAACCCCTCGAGAAGGCACACAACCAAGCATTACGACTAATTACTGGAGTGATAAAATCAACACCCATTGATGCAATGATCCTAGTTACAGGAAGCACTACAATATGTTCCCTTATCAAAGAAAAGGCCTTGATCCTGTATGAGAAGCTACTGCGCATTTCCACGGA